TCTAAGGATATTTGAACCTCAGAAAAGACACGGTGTAAGGAGATACCATTTGTAGATTGTCAGAATAGCAAATTTAAAATGACATTGACAGGGTCAGGGAGATGGCTCAGTGGATAAAACCTTTGCCGAGGACTGGAGTTCGGATCTCCAGAACCTATGTAAGAGCCTGGGCAAGTGTGGCTATTGTAGTCCCAGAGCACTTAAGAAACAGAAACAAGGATCCCTGGAGAAAGCTGGCATGCTGGACTAGCTGGAATTGGCATGCTGGGTTCATCTAGAGATCCTGCCTCAATAAATAAAATGGAGGGTGAGCAAGGCAGACACCCAACATCAACATCATTTGAGCCTCTCTACACACACACACATACGTAACCATACATATAGAAACATGTATACACGTATGCACGCAAGGCACACACACCTGGGAAACAACAATTTTAAGTAAATAAAATGACATTGACCAAGGAGAGGGAAAATAAAGCGTTCTGGTATGCTAATATGAATGGAATCGTTTCAGAAGGATGTTGGACGATGTTGGGAGAGAGATAGAGAATCCCAGAGCTTAGAGCTACCTAAAGTCAGACTTTCTGATTTGATAAAACTGGCAGAGGTTGGGAGATCTGAACCAAGAGGGAGATAAAGAGCAAGAACACAGGTTCAGGGTCGCAAGTGCCAGCTCTCTTCTCCACCTTCTGCTCAGCGGCTTCTTATTTCGGAGCCTCACACTGTGGCGGAAGGATTTGTGCCACAAAAAAGCAGCAAGCGGTCCGGACAGGACTCCCTCCTCTCTCGTGTCTGGTTTAAAAGCATGCTGCTACCTTGGTCAATCCACAACCAGCAACTGCAGGATTCCCCCAAGCAATAGCTGCCCAGACATCTAATACCAGCTGTGTGTGCACTTGGAGGCCAGGGGACAAAACTGAGTGTCCCTCCTCACATGCTCTCAGCTTTTTTGTTGAGACCTGGTCTATCACTGTCCTGGAACTTGCCAAGTAAGTTAGGCTATCAGCCCAGGGATCTGCTATCAATACATCTTTGGTACTGGGTTTACAAGCATGCACATACACCATCTCACCCGACTCTTTCAAGGCTCTCTCTATGTAGCCCTGGATGTCCTGAAACTTGCTCTGTAGACCTTGAACTCACAGAGATCTTCCTGCCTCTGCCTTCTGAGTGCTGGGATTAAAGGTGTGTTCCACTATACCTGGCTCACCCAGCTCTTCTCACAGGGAGTCTAATGAACAAACTCAGGTGTTCATGCTTGCGTGGTAAGCTTTACTTCCTGAACTATCTCCCCAACCCAAAGACCGGCTGCTATAAGCCAAGTCTGCTGCTCTGTCCTGGACCTTGGAGCCTGCAGGGCTTTTTAACCAAAGAAAGCAGAACTGCATGGCTTCCTGTGTCCTAGGCCTATGCCAGTTCCTGCTTGATTTTCTACAGAAATGAAGGACTGGGGACAGTGGCTCTTCCTAGTTTCACAAACGCAGAGGAGATAGGACAATGACACGGACAGGTAGTTGAACCTCCTCCCATGCGGGAGCAGAGGCCCCCATGTCAGCCCTCTGACAGTCATAGCGTCCCTGTGACACAATTGTACTGCCTCCCCTAGAAGCTATAGAACCTGGTAAGGACTTAGATGCGGTCGAGGGAGAAGGAAGATTTGAGACTCACCCTTGGGTTTCAGGCTTAGATGCCTAGGTAGCCCATGTGAGATGTAGAACGTAAGAAAAGAGGATCCACAGGGCATATGAGGGCAATAGTTCTGCTTGGGACCGGATGGGTTTGAAGTTCCAAGGAAGAGCAAACAGAGATGTTTAATAGCAACTACGATCGATGAGGTCTAAGGAGTTACTGGTTTATAGAAAGCGTTGAAGCGGTATGCCCACTCACACAACACAAAGAGCTAAGCAAGGATACAAGGGAACAGCAACTCCCAGGAGAAAGAAGATCCAGGAGAATGCAAAGAGAATGCTATGGGAGGCGGGAGGAAACCAAGAGAAGTCCACGCTGTAGAGCAGAAGGAGGGATACCGAGTGCTGCGAACAGCTTGAGATGGAATGGGATGGAGGGGAGAGCCACCACAAGGTCCTGACAGCTGGTGGGATTGAAGAAGGAAATGGAGGGAGGTGAAGTTCAAGTCTGCATGTGCCCATGCAGTCAGGACCTCGTGGGCCATCAGGAGGCACTTGAGGTGTGTTCTCAATGCTATGGGAACTTGTCCGGGGATTTTACTACGGGAGTGAGAACACAGGATAGGCATGTTAGACATACCAATCTGGGGCCAGTGGGATGGTCCAGCAGGTAAGAGCACCTGCCTTGGAAACTTGATGACCTGACTTCAAACGCCAGATCCAGGGTGGAAGGAGAGAACCAACTCTCAAAAGGTGTCCTCTGACCTCCACACATGTGCTGTGACACACACATTTTACACTCATGCTAATAATAAATAAAACAAGTAAAAATTCCTTTTTTTAATCACCCAGGGGTGATTCTTAGGGCAGCATCTGCCCGTTGTGCAGGATCTCCAGGACAGAGGGTAGTAGAGGGGAGCCAAGGAGTTAGTGGGAGCGGGTGCAGTGAGCCAAACACAGGATAGAGAAGGAGGGCTGGAGAGGGCTAAAAGTGTGCAGACTCAGGCCACAACACGTGCTCGTCAACTGGATGTGGGAAAGAATCAAGTACTAATATTTAAGGCTTGAACACTGTATAGGTGGAAATGCCATTCACAAAGATGGCAAGATAGGGAAACCAAAGGTACAGGCTTATCATAAATGTGATTATTGAATGAATACTGCGAATGTAATCAGTGAATACCACAAATGTAATTAATATCATGAGTGTAATTAATGAATAGCATGAGTGTAATTAAAAAAACACACAAATAAAAGGTACAGGTTTAGGGATAGGAGCCAGAATCCAGGCCTGCCTTTCTGCCTCCCTCCCTCCCTTCCTTCCTTTCAAGACAGAGTCTCTCTAAGTAGCCCTGGCTGGCCTGAAACATACTTGTAGAACAGGCTGGTCTTGAACTCACAAAGATCCACCTGCCTCTCTCTCCCAAGTTCTGGGATTAAAGGCGTGCTCTGCTATACCAGGCTTCCCCCTCCAACCCCCACAACCCCCACAACCCCCACAACCCCCACAACACACACGCACACCCTTGATAAGGGTTCTTTCACTGAGTTGCCAAGGCTAGTCTTAAACTCATGGACTCAAGTGATCCTCCTTCTTCAGCCTCCCGAGTAGCTGGGGTTTTTGGCAAGCAAGCACACGGAGCCTGGCCATTTGTTTCTGTGCTTGGCTTTTAAAGACAGGGTCTCGCTATGCAGCCAAGACTGATCTGGAATTGCTTTTGCAGTCTAGGCTGGCCTCAGACTCACAGTCCTCCTGCTTCCACCCTCTGTGAGCTGGGCTGATGGGCATGCAGTGCAGCTCGGACATATTAAATACGGTAGACACACAAGCAGAGGAGAAGCCCACTCAGCAGGTAGCTACCCAAGTCTGGAGCCCAGGAATGAAGTCACAGCTAACATCAGCATCCACCTCATACCAAAAGTCCGGGACTGTGTGAACACGGAAATTGTATGTCCCCCCTCCCATGTGACTTGATTGAGCTTGGGTAGCTCTATGTTTGGGAAGAGGATGGAGGGCATTTAAAGTGTGATGACCTCTGACCTTTGTAATCTGGGAACTAATCGGACTAAGGGCCAGACTCAGTACAACTGACAAGGAAGTGGTGCCAGAAAAAAAAAAAAATGAAGCCTGTAGAGGAACTCTAAAAGATTCACATCCTTCCCCTGCCCAGCTCCTAAAACTGTTCGATGAAATTCATTCACAAGGAGGAGGAAAGGAGGGGACGCTTTGGAGAGCACTTGGTTTGCAGAGGCACCACTGGGAGTCCCAGTGATGCTGAAGGGATGAACGTGGGTGTCAACAGGGTCCCGTATGCTCCTTCCCTCCAGGCCATCTGACCGCTCAGCCAGGAGTCAGAGCTTTCAGAGCCAGTACAGGAACCACCCACTGGTCCAGCACAGCCAGGAGAAGGCCCGGCGCCCGTGAAGAGATCATATACCCCCAACACACACACACACACACACACACACACACACACGCTATGACATGAGGCAGGCACAGCCAAAGAACTGAGCCCAAGTATTCCTCATTCTGAGCAAGCCAGACAGAAATACGGAAGGCCATGCTTTCATGCATGTTTTCATACATACACGTTACTGTGTACTGAATCATCTGGGAATTTGGGTAAATGGAGGGTTTGTGTGAGCAGGTCTGGGGAGGGCCTGGGATTCTGCATTCCTGACACATTCCCAGTACCTCTGTCACTGCTCTCTATAGAGCACACACTAAGGTTGCTGAGGATACCACCTATGATGGACAGGCCATTTCCATCCAGGAGCATGGCTTGTTCATACACAGAGCCCCAGAACCTGTTAAGCTGGAAACAGCCACCACCAGACACGTCTGTGAGGGAAACAGGCACTTCGTGGCAGATCATTCCAAGAGCACGGCATGACGGTTGAGCACGCAGGTTCTGAAGTGTCATCTCCTGCATCTTCCATCTTGCTGGGTGTGTGACCTTGAGTAACCTTTTAACCTCACTATGTCCCAGCTCTCTCATCTTCCTGATGGAAATAAAAGTACTGTATGGACGTTGAGTCGACACATATAGCATGGTTAACACTGTTTTGATGGCTATATGCTCTTCCACAGTAGTTCACACACCCACACAGGCAATTATATACCACCATGTCCCTACCAAAAGAAGGCTCCTGTCTTCTCTTTCGAATTCCTCTTACCCTCCTGCCCACTCCCCCTCCCCTGGCCCCTGGCCCCTGGCGTGTGGTCTGGATGGGCCCCAGAGGGGCAGAGACAGGGGCAGGACGTGGGGCTGTATCTGACAGGAACCTGAGGGGCTGGCCCGGGAGGGGATTGGGGCCCAGCTTCCTGAAGGGAGGATGGGCTAAGGCAGGCACACAGTGCCGGAGAAGATGCCCTCTTGGGCCCTCTTCATGGTCACCTCCTGCCTCCTTTTGGCCCCTCCAAACCAGGCACAAGTCACCAGCCAAGGTGAGGTGTATAGAGGGTGGAGATCATCCATGCTCAGGCAAAAGGAGCCCTGGGAGGGGATGAAGAGCCCTGGGAGGGGACATAGAGTAAGAGACTCCCACTGGTCCCCTACTCTTACTCACAAACATGACGGGAAAAATCCAGAGCCCAACCCCCCGACTGTTTCTCAGATGTCTTCTTGCTGGCCTTGGGCACAGAGCCCCTGAACTGCTTCTCCCAAACATTTGAGGACCTCACTTGCTTCTGGGATGAGGAAGAGGCAGCACCCAGTGGGACATACCAGCTGCTGTATGCCTACCCAGGGTAGGTTCTGGGCTGTCCCCCCAGTGCCCATTTATCTGTCCCTGTATTTAGCTGAGTCACACTCTTGGCGTCCCTGTCTCTGGCCCTATCAGAGGATTACACCAAATGCATGCCCAATACATAACCACTCTACAAATGGCCCAGCTCAAGCCCCCACAGAGCCCCGAATCACACTTACTGCAAGCAGCGAGAAGAAAACGGCAATACTGGAGACGGGAATTGGGCATGGGTTCGACCTGAGTCCTCGGGGATGAGCGTGATGACTGTGTAGGTAGAACCTCTCCTGTGCCCACAGAGAGAAGCCCCGTGCGTGTCCCCTGCATTCCCAGAGTGCGCCCACCTTGGGGACCCGGTACGTGTGCCGGTTTCCAGCCCAGGATGAAGTGCGCCTCTTCTTTCCTCTGCACCTCTGGCTGAAGAATGTGTTCCTCAACCAGACTTTGACCCAGCGGGTGCTCTTTGTGGATAGTGTAGGTAAGGGCATCTCTGCCACGCTGCCCCTCCATTTGCTGCCTGCTAAAGCTCCCAGAATCAGACTTGCCTGTAGTCTGCCAGGACAATGTGGGTACCCTTCTCTATCAGATTCCCAGAGGTATCTCAGGACCCCCCATTATTATTCCTCCCAGCCTTGGCACCCAGAATTAGACTTCTCCCATAAAGCACTTCACAGCAAAGATGCCTTGCTCCTCTCATTAACATACATTTACTCACCTATTCAACCGCCAGATCGCCAATGTGTGCCAGCCCACAAGGAGACAGAGATGAAAAGAGGTCCCTGCTTTAAGAAGCCCAAATCTAACAAACCTTTCCACCATAGCGAACTCATTATTCTCAAGAGAATGGAGAACAGGACAGGCAGCTCCCCGCTCCTTCCTCCCCTCCATGGAAATGAGAACTGGTGTCTTTTTAAATTCAGAGCAGTTCTATTCAGCCTTCAGACCCCTCTCTGCAGTCCATGGGTTGAACCATAGACTGGCACTCAGTGATTCGATGTGCCTTGTCTTGCCCTCAGGCCTGCCAGCTCCCCCCAGTATCATCAAGGCTAGGGGTGGGAGCCAACCAGGGGAACTTCAGATCCACTGGAAGGCCCCTGCTCCTGAAATCAGTGATTTCCTGAGGCATGAACTCCGCTATGGCCCCACGGACCCCAGCAACTCCACTGGCTCCTCAGTTATTCAGCTGCTCTCCACAGAAACCTGCTGCCCCACTCTGTGGATGCTGAATCCGGTTCCTGTTCATGACCAGCCTCCATGTGTTCAGCCTACAGTGCCCCAGCAGCATGGACCGATCAGGACCTCCCCAACTGGAGAAGTAGTCTAACTTTCTTCTCCTCCTCCTATTTCCTACCCCAATATGTCCCCTGGAAAAGAAAGGTCACAGTTAGGGGATCCTGGACTGGGTTGGTCTTTGAGGAGCCAGTGTAGACTCTGACTAGCTTTCAGGAACCCTGTCTAGGGCTCTCCCACTTTGGATCATTCACACTAACATAATTGAAGGCTTTCAGACCTCCAAATTGAGACTTCGTAAAAATCCCTAAACACAACTCAAATTTTGTCAACCCAGCCCCTGCCCTGTGTGCATATCTTTGCAGCAAGGAGCCCCGTTTTGCACTGTGGTTCAAGTCCTAGGTCTGCGGGCATTCTTAGCTGAGAAGCAAGCCTGGGACTTTTCTCCCCAGGCTCCGTCTCTGACAGTGAAGGGTGGAAGCTGTCTCATCTCAGGGCTCCAGCCTGGCAGCTCCTACTGGCTCCAGCTACGCAGTCAACCGGATGGGGTCTCCCTTCGTGGCTCCTGGGGCCCCTGGTCCTTTCCTGTGACTGTGGACCTTCCAGGAGATGCAGGTGGGTCAGCAAAGGAATGAGGAGGTGGGGAAGGGGTTAAGAAAGTTCTCCACGGAGGCTTAGACTGGGAGCCACGGTCATTCCTGATGACCTCAAACCTGTCACTGCACAGGACAACTATGTTCAGTAAGAGAAGAAAGAATAGGTAAGAATGTTCTGCTATGTGTGTGGAGACAATTTAGGGACTCTGAGTAAGAACACAAGGCCCTCTTCTTTGACCACAGCGGCAATTGGACTTCAGTGTTTTACCTTGGATCTAAAGAAGGTTATCTGTCAGTGGCAGCATCAAGACCACACTCGCTCCCAAGGCTTCTTCCACCACAGCAGAACACGGTGCTGCCCCACAGACAGGTAAGACCAGAACTGTTGACTGAGTTTGAACCTGCAGGTCAACATCGTCAACATGAGTCCTCTTCACTTGCTTACCCTGTCCCCTCCAGGCGCTGTTCTCTGTTCTCTCATACTCCAATGAGTGTTTTTATTGTCTCATCCTCTCTTTGTTTCCGCTGGGAACGGCTTGGTTTCATCAGACTTAAATACCTCATCTAGACTCTTGAGACAGCCTATCAGGCAAGTCCAACACAGGGCCCAAAGGACAACTATGACCGTGGCCCAACACAAAATCGTCAACTTACTTAAAACACGCAGGTTTTTTGTAACCCAACCGTGTGGGGCTTAAGTTTGAACTTTATATATAACAAGGTGGTCCCACCATATCAAAAGTTGGACGTTCTTGGCAATTCTATCCACCTTCGGCTTGTTCCCCATGATGCTAACCCCCCACATTGCAAGATCTTTGTGAAACTTGCTGGTCACCTCTACTACTCTAGAATGTACTGCAGTGTCCTGGGATCTGGGATCTAGGTAACCGGACCTTCAAGGACGTCTACCAAACCTCCCTGATCCTTCATCCTTGCTAAAGTCAATCTGTTACCATGTTGTTGGTTTTACAAACTAAGTGTGCCTAGAATCTGATCATGGTTTTGTCACCACCATGGCCCTATCCCAGTCCATCAGACTGGGGAGATAGATGATTGGTAAAGCACTTGAATAAGGCTCTGTGTTCAATCTCCAGTACTGGGGGGTGGGGGATTTTTATCTTCCTACTTGTTCACTACAAAGAGTCCTTCACATAGAAACTGGAGAGATTTAGAAGCTCCGAAACGAACAGAACACCCCCTGCTTTAAAACCCTTGATAAGTTCCCGTTGATCTTAACAAAGTCTGCTGTAGTGCCGTATGTTTTGGACTGCTGTAAGTGCCGTATGTTTTGGACTACTGTAGTGCCGTATGTTTTGGACTATCCGACTGTTCCATGTGACTTTGGCTTTATCTATGCTACACTCAGTTGAGCTCTCCCTTCCAGCACTGGTTCTGTGCCCCATATTCACCTCGTTTTTCTGTTCTGCTGGCCTCTGATGTACTGCTCATCTGTCTCTCTCTTTATTTTCACTTACCCTTCCGAGCTCAGGAACCTCATCTGCCCTTCTTTATTACGTCCCATGGCGTATTTATGCATTAAAATTTTTATTTACTTTGCCACAGGGGTCAAGGGCACATGTGTGCTATGGCATGAGTGTGGAGGTTAGAAGACAACCTGAGGGAATCAATCGGTTTTATTCTTCCACCATGTGGGTTCTGGGGATTGAACCTGGGTTGTCAGGCTTGGTAGCAAGTGTCCTTACCTGCTGAGCCACCTTGCTGGCATGTTTATACATGCTTGTTGTACTACATAACTCTGCTTTTTCTGTTGTTTTTGTTTTGGTTTTTCAAGACAGGTTTCGAGACTTGATTTGTAGACCAGGCTAGTCTTGAACTCACAGAGGTCTGCCTGCCTTTGCCTGCTGAGGACTGGGATAAAAGGTGTGCGACACCACCACCCAGTCTCTCCTTTTTAAACACTACTCTTGGATACAGTTGAACGTTTACCCTTCATGTGATTATTTAATCAAAAACCTTGAGCATGGTGGTACATACCTATAATCCCAGGACTAGGGAGGTAGAGGCAGGAGGAACAGAGGTCAACCCTAGCTACATACTAAGTTTAAGGACAGCCTGGGCTATGTGAGACTGAGTCGCAAAACAAAGTAACACAGAAAATTCTCCCTCAGCTCTCCAGTTGAGAAACACTATCCTTGACTATATGTGAACATGACAAAAATCAGCATCCCTTTTTACTCACCAGTATATTCTTGCCTACCATAGTGGGGGGAGGTGGAGGGATGACCAGATAAAGCCATTGCCGAGCAAGCTTGAGGATCAGACCTTTAGGAGCCATGCAAAGCTGGGCACAGTCGAACACATCTGTGATCCCAGTGATGGAGAGACTGAAGGATCCTTGGACATTCAAGGGCTAGCCTGCTGTACATAGCAGAGAAAAAAGCCAGGAGATCCTGTCTCAAACAAGGTGGACGTTGAAGACCAACACATGACAATGTCCTCTGACCTCCGTGTGTGCACTCACACTCATACAAATGTGCATACATATATGTACACACATACACAAGAACACATATGCAAAAAAAACCCTCAATAAATAAATAATGAAAAAGTCATTCTTAAGAGCTTTGCTGTGCCTGGCGGTGGACAGTGTTAGTGCACAGCTTAAATCCTAGCATTTGGGAGGCAGAGGCAGGAAGATCTCTGTGAGCTCAAGGCCAGCCTGGTCTACAGAATTCCAGGACAGTCAAGGCTACACAGAGAAACCCTGTCCTGAAAAACAGAACAAAACAAAAATCAATGTTTAATCTTTAAATATAAATTGTATCATACTATATATGTGTGCATGCATATAATTTGTTTTATTTATTTACTTACTATTGATTTTGAGACAGGATCTCACTATGTAACTCAGGCTGGCCTGGAACTTGCTCTGTAGACCAAGCTGGCTTCAAACTCTCAGAAACCCACCTGCATCTGCCTCTGCCTCTGGAGGGGTGGGATTACCTCTGCCCAGCTTTGTTCTCATTTTTGTTTCTGTGATGCTGAGGACAGGATCACAGGCTGAGTGAATACTGTACTACCGCGCTATTCCCTGACAACCTTAAAAGGTTTGGTATCTTACCTTTTCGCTTACATGTTTTTTGGAACTCAGTCCAAAAGAAGTGGCTCATTCTTTTAAATGGCTGCACAGATTTTCATAGTGTGGAGGTCTAATCCATGTGTGGATTTAAGGCGATAAAATCAAATTGGAGCCGGGAATAGCCTTTAATCCCAGCACTGGGGAGATAGGCCAATCAACTGCAGTTCTAGGCCAGCCTGGTCTACAGAGCGAGTTCCAGGACAGCCAGGGCTACACAGAGAAACCCTGTCTCAAAAAAACAAAACAAAACAAATCAATCAGTTCTTTTACCCAAATTTTCTCTTGCTCTATTTTACCATGAACTCAATTTTCACACCAAAGTTGCCCTGGACTTTTCTCCTTCCTATTCCCTCCAGGCCTACTCAGAAATAGCCGTGTTAAAACAAAAAGTTCTTGCATCATTTCTTTCATTCAGTCTCCACCATGTTCTCACCTTTATTACTTTGCACATGAAAATCCCAACAATGCCCTAATGGATTTCTCTGCTTCTCCTCTCTCCTCCCAAATCCTCTCTACACACAGCAATTAGAGGAGTCTTCTAAAATACAGTGTAATTATGATCCTTCCCTGTTTAAGATATTTGAGAGTTTTCCTAACTATGAGATTAAGTTCAGGCTCCTGCAATAATCCCCATACTTTGGGGGCTGAGGCAGGAGGATCACCTCTAGCTCCAGAGCTAGGTAGTGTGAGACTCTCTTACCTCTCCCCGCCCCCCAAAAAGTTCAAGCTCTTAAAGAGGCAGTCCATGGCAGGGTCTGCAGTCGAGTTTACCACTTACTAGCAGGTCCTCGGACCTAAAACCATTCCTCATTTTGAACCATTTAGAATCCCCCCGCCCCAACCACACCACCCCCATCACAGCCAGGAGGCAGAGGCGGGCAGATCTCTGGGAGTTCTAGGACAGCCTAGGCTGTTGCACAGTGAAACCCTGTCGTGAAAAATCAAACCAGAGAGAGAGAGAGAGAGAGAGAGAGAGAGAGAGAGAGAGAGAGAGAATTTTCCCCACAGCATAATACTCCCTTTATGTCTGCACAGCATGTGTCTGGAATTGTCCCCCTACCTCACCTATTTATAGTCTGAGCCTCAGTGTAAACACTAGCTCAGCCAGGAAGCGTTCCTTGACCCTCCCTCCCAGTTAGACGTTCTGCTGTGATCTCTCCAGTCCGCCAGTGTTCCACACAAAAACACATGGCTGCTTGTTTTTGTGACCTGTCCATTGACATGAGGGCTCCCTCAAGATTATTTTTTCATCTATATGCTGTCCAGGCCTGGCACACTGCTTGGCACAGGAGTATGAACTGTTTGTTGATTAAGTGGATGGATGTTAATACAAAAGGGTCATACAAGAATGACCATTTTAGGAATGGTAAGTCACCAAGGGATTACAATCAAGAGGAGGCATTTGAGACCGGCCTGAGCTATGTGTGAGTGAGACCCTGCCTCCAAAAGTGCACACCTTTAGTCCCAGCAATCAGAGGCAAGTGCATCTCAAATTCAAGGCCAGCCTGGTCTACATAGCAAGTTCCAGGCCAGTCAGAACTACATAAGGAGACCCAGTCTTGAAAGAAAGAAAGAAAGAAAGAAAGAAAGAAAGAAAGAAAGAAAGAAAGAAAGAAAGAAAGAAAGAAAGAAAGAAAGAAAGAAAGAAAGAAAGAAAGAGCAGCAACATGCTTCCCAATTAGAACTTACTTTTTTCTTTTTTCTTTTTTCTTTTTTCTTTTTCTGGAGCTGAGGACCGAACCCAGGGCCTTGCACTTGCTAGGCAAGTGCTTTACCACTGAGCTAAATCCCCAACCTCAGAACTTACTTTAACCCAGGCAAGCAATAACGGTGGCTTTACTTCATGTGGCCATGGCAAATGTCAAAATAGATTGTGATACATACTGGGTATTAGCAAATTCTGGAAGCAATGTCAGAGGAACAAGAACAAAATTAAAAATATAAAGATATTTGCTTCTAGAATGATAAAGTCTCTTTCATCTCAGAAACAGCCTGAAAAGTAGGTACCAAAACATGGCCTCAAAGGAGGGGAACTGGAGCAGAGATAAATCACACCATAATTGGCCCAAGGTATGCACTAGTAGGCTGAGGTCTGAACTCTATAGACTATGTTCTTTTATCTTTGTTCATGTCTTATTATTATTGTTATTATTGGTGTTATTATTAGGTTAGTACACAAAGTCACAGATTTCATCATATAACCACGTTATTTTCACATATCATGCCTGCCTTTTCCTCAAGAGAAAGAGGCTAGACCTCACGGCATAATGGCAGAGAGAGCCCTCGAGGTCCAAGGCGCATAGAGAGGACTTCAATTATGATCCATGCAGGACACAATGCCTGTGTGTTAGGGAGGATGGGGAGTGATCTCTGGGGCAAGTCTGATTTAACGACTCCCTCGGGTTGATTCTTAGGGATCCTACCTGGGAGAAATGTGAAGAGGAAGAGCCAGGATCACAGCCTGCTCTGTTCTCCCGCTGCCATTTCAAGTCACAAAATGACAGTGTTATTCACATCCTTGTAGAGGTGACCACAGCCCAAGGTGACATTCACAGCTACCTGGGCTCACCTTTCTGGATCCACCAGGCTGGTAAGAACCTTCCTTCTCATATCCCCACATAATTCCCGCCTTCATCAAACAACTGGAAGGCTGAGACTTGAACTCTAAAACTACATTCTTTCATCTTCGCTCATGTATTACTATTATTATCGTTATTATTATTATACCAGCTCTGACATTTCTGACCCATGGCCCTGGCGGCACAATGCCTAATGCACAAAAGGGCTTAGTGCCGTCCCTGTTGGACCCCTACAGTGCTCCTCCCCACCCCGAGTCTGCGCTGGAGAGAGGTCTCAAGCGGGAGGCTGGAACTGGAGTGGCAGCACCAGTCATCCTGGGCAGCTCAAGAGACCTGCTACCAGCTCCGGTACACGGGCGAAGGCCATGAGGACTGGAAGGTACCATACAGCAACAGATGCCGGTGGAACACCGCACAGGGCATTCCCCATGCCAACGCCGTCTCAGTCTCAGTATCTGGGCTTGTACATCTCTGCTTATCTGATTCAACTGGTATCTAAATCCCTCTCGGGCATGTGGCGCCATGGGCTACCTCGTGTGAACTGTTCTCTCCCTGTGCTGGAGGTGTTTCTCAGTGGCACAGCACTCACCTAGCATGCCAGAGGCCCCAGGTTCCACCCCAGAACCATTAAATAAAAAGTTCTCTGCCTGTGGGATGGCGGCCTCCCCCATCGCCTTCCTACCTCTCTGACTGAGTTTTATCACTTCTTCCCTGGCTCCTCCTTCTCTACTCTTTCAGGAAATGTTGTTCTTTCTAGCACCCCATCCAAAATGCTCTCTCCTAGATAAATATGTCTCCTCTGCCTAGGTGAGTGGTTCAGCCCTGTGCTTTAAATGACTATGCATTAACTACACTTTAACAACCCCAATTTTATCATTCTAGACCCCACATGGAAAGAGATTTAAGCACCACATACAAATTACCTAAATTTTTGAAGTCTCCTCATTAGTGAAATGGGGAGAAAGCTACCTGCCTTGGAGTTGGATAAAAATGAAATATAAGGGCTGGAGAGATGGCTCAGCAGTTAGCAGTACTTGTTTCTGCAGAGAACAGGGTCAGTTCCCAGCACCCACATGGTAGTTTACCCATAACTCCAGTTTCTCCTCAGGGAGTCTGAGGGCCCCAGACACATAGTTATGCACATATGTATATGCAGACACTCATACACATAAACATTCATACACATAAAGTAAATATAAAAACTTTTAATATCTAAATTCCTGGCATATAGAAAGGTATTCAATACACAAGCATTGTTTTTATTCTCAGTTAACATGTATCCGTACCAGACAATCCTAGTACTTCATCCCCAACAGATCAGATGCAATATATCCAAAGCTAAATGCATTGTCCTCAGCAGTTGTACTACATTTTACTAGTTATAGCTCATACTATACTAGTTTGATACTATACTATCTCAAAAATACCAGTTTTTACCAGATATAGCTCATATACAATAATATATACAAACCTTAAATATAGCATTAATTTTTCATGTCTATGCCATACATGTAGCCAATTTGTCAGTTACCCAGATCTACAGAATATAACATATACAAAACTTCATTAGATTCTTATGCCTCCTACACTCGCCCTGCACAGTAACCAAAGCTGGCCACTATCTTGGCATAACTCCTCTGACTGTAAACTTTATAATGTAGACCCGTATGCTATTTTTATTTTTAAACTTACTCCTCTCAGCACTGACAGGGGAGCCACCTCTTACCCAAGCCTAGAAGCATCCTTGATTCTTCCTTTCTCCTTCCCCTCTCCTATTTATCAACCAGTAATTTGAATAACGTATCAAACACTCCTCCTAGTTTTCGCTTTGACCATCTGCACTCTTGGCACACTAAACTAGTTAGTTGTTTGTTTGTTTTTCGCGACAGGGTTTCTCTGTGTAGTTTTGGTGCCTGTCCTGGATCTTGCTCTGTAGACCAGGCTGGCCTCAAACTCACAGAGATCCGCCTGGCTCTGCCTCCCGAGTGCTGGGATTAAAGAAGTGCGCCACCACCGCCCGGCTACACTAGTTAGTATTGTTTCATTGTGCTCCCATGGTGCCTTGCACTAATTAACTGTGATTATCTGCCTACCTCTTCAGATGAAAATGTATTTCACTTAACTTTGTCTCTAGCGTCTAGCTCAATGTCTGGCATACGCTAAGCAACTCAAATGTTTGCTAAGTATATAATAGTATCCCTGCTTGCACAAAACAGTGTTTGTGGCCCTAGCACTTAGCACAAATCTGGTGTCCTCTGCGCTATAGAACTTGTGGCACGGTCTGTGTGGCTCTGAGAGTCCGATCTTGTCTCTAAGAGGGTCCAAGGCCTGATCAGTGAGGGTGGTGAGCGCCTGTAGCCGGTCCCCACATCTTGTGGCAGGATGCACAGCTCTGTGAATTCCCAGGCGTGATCTCAGGCAGGGCTTTCGATCCTGCACGCCTCTGTGGATGAGGCTCTTTGTGCGGATCCCCGACCCGACCCCTCCACGCTTCTTCCCTCAGGTGCTGGAGCCGTCTCTCGGAGCCCGGGGAGGGACGCTGGAGCTGCGCCCCCGAGCTCGCTATAGCTTACAGCTGCGCGCCAGGCTCAACGGTCCCACCTACCAAGGCCCCTGGAGCGCCTGGTCTCCTCCAGCTTGGGTGGACACGGGATCAGAGACTGGTGAGAATGGGCGGGGCCGAAGCTGGTCTACGCCGCGTGGGGGGCGTGGTTAGGCTCGGAGCTCCCTGGGTCTCAGTGCGGTGTTGGGTGCTGGGGAGGCTGAGGGTGGAGCCAAGGCTGGGGCTGGCACGCCCCCAGGCGGGGCCGAGGATCAGCCGAGGTCAGAAGCTTTTTGTCGCCTAGCTTGGATCTCCTTGGTGACCGCTCTGCTCCTGGTGCTGTGCCTCAGTGTCCTCCTGGGTCTGCTGCTGCTGAAGTGGCAGTTTCCTGCGCACTACAGGTACCGCCCTTGCCAAGAGGGTGGTGGGGTGTGGTCTCTGCAAGGCCAGTGGCCTCTGAACAAGTATTCTGGAGTCACTTGATGACACCGCTCTCGGGACCTCGGAACATCCACACCTACCGCTTCACGCACGCCTCTGGGAGTGGCACCTTCTTACACTCGAGCCTGGTCACTCTGTGGACACCTCCAACAGCCCCACCTCCTGGATGCTCACTTAGTGACAGAGCTACTGTCCAACCTTGGCCCAAATAAGCGTTCTTGCGGGCGTCTTCCCATCCCCACCCACCTAGTTGGCCTTGAGGTCTGGTCTTTCCACCTCAGGAAATGGATCGAACAATGCTTTCTTTCTCTGGCCCCGCACACTACCTGACTCGTTGAAATAGTGTCTCCTCACTCCCCTTCCTCACAAACTAAATGCACACAAACCTACGGTGACCTGCCTAACTCCTTCAGAAGATCCCCAGGATAGAACCCAACAAGGCTCTACAGAAATCTCTTTTACCCTGTATAATCAGCCTTGCCAAAGTCCTGTTTTATCCACAGTAGGCTGTTTTACTGCTCAGTGCCTTTGTACACAGTGTCCTGCTGCCTGGAATATCCTCTTTGGCTGACTACCCATTCATCTTTAAACAACTTTCTTCACTAACGCGTAACCTTTCCTGACCTCCTCATTGGCTGCTCCTTTGTGCTCCCATAGTGTTTTCCTGCATTAATTGATTTATTTGGTGCGAGCTGTGTTGAACCCAGGGTTCACGCATGCTAAGCACGTGCTTTGCCACTGTCCTACACTTCACAGCCCAGCATTTATTCCTGTACATGTCTTCCCCATCATACCTTACTTGGTCATTTTTAAATCCTCAGTATAGTGCCTGCCAAGTAGAAGGCCCTTGAATAAATGTCATAATGAATGACTCATTTATGTGAGGACTGAGGAGAAATTATAAACCTAAAAAAAAATTCGCACAGCCTCAATCATTCCGTTGGCACTATCTGCTGATTCTTGAACACCTAGCTCAGAAGTCAAAGTGGAGAGTGTGTTTTGGTTATAGGCTAGACTAGGTGCCCCTCTCCTGGACTCCACACCTCAGTTTGAAGTTTTGTTGTTGTTGTTGGTTGTTGGTTTGTTTGTTTTAAACAGGACCTCACTTGTATCCCAGGCTGGCCTGGAACTCACTGTATGGTCCAGCATAACATCAAGCTCATTGCAATCCTTATACCTCAGCTCCCCCCACCCCACCCTGCCCCACCCTGAGTCCTAGGATTATAGGCATGAGCCATCATGCCTGACTTTCTTTGAACTTTAGTCTGCCTTTGAGTAAGAGCAAAGGAGAATGGAGCCTCTTTTCAAGGTAGCCATATCTGGGGAAAAAAAATGTGGGCAGAGAAAGGGAAGAGGTGGTGGAGGTCATGGAAGAGGCTGGATACCTTTGTCGGAAGCCCTTTAACATGAAAATCTGGGCAAGGAGTTGGAAGCATCCCCAATATACCTTAATTTGTACTCTTCCCAGACAACCTTCTGCAGCAACATGGCAAGAAGCTCCCCTCTTTCTTCTTTCGCTCTTGTGATTTCTCAGGCACCTACTGTGGACTCAAGGCAAGGGGTAGAGATGGGGAAAAATAGACAATCTTCAAGCTCTCACGAAGCTTGTATTCTGGAGGAGTAAGAAAAGAACAAACTACCATAACAATACGGTCAATATATAGTAAGTTAAGAAAAACAACAGGCCGG